AAACCTCTCCAAAAAAAAAAAAAAAAGAAAGAAAGAAAGAAAGAAAGAAAGAAAAAGAGACAGAGAGAGAGAGAGAGAGAGAGAGGACAAAGACAGAGAAAGCAAGCGACCAGGTACAGGCTCAGACCAGCCATCCATGGTGTAATCCAGTGTTTTAAGCACCACGCACGCCACCTGCTAGTCCCACTGATTCCTTTTCTTTATTCATCTTGTTCAACACAAAATTGGGCTTTCTCACAAGTTCACCCAAGTTTTTGGCCTACACTTTGCCCTGTGCAGCCAAGCCCCACCCACACGCAAGTAAAAACTCCGCCCCTTTTTGCAGACATAGCCCCTCCCCTTTCACAGCATGCCACGCCCACCCTGCCCAATCGTCCTGTCCCCAACCAAGATCCACCCCTCTTGGCTCCAGTTCAGTCCCGCCCCTTTTTGTATCTGTGCCAAGCTCCACCCATGTCAATGAAAACTCCACCCCCTTGGGTTGCACTCAGCTCCGCCCCTTCCACAGCAAGTCAAGGCCCCGCCCCCTGTGGGAAGCCCATCTCACCCGTCGGGCGCGCCCCCTGGCGGTGGCGAGGGCGGTGGCGGCGTGCGTAGCAGCAGCGGCCCAAAGGTGGCACCCAGAGCTCGGACCGCGGGGCCCGAAGCTGGGGCCCGGCGGGCCACCCGGACCAAGTGCTGGAGTAGGAAGCGCAGCGTGAGTGCTCGGTGCAGCGGCAGCGTTGGGGGCTCCAGCGCCGGCCCCACGGGTCCTGCAGCCTCTGCAGACAGATGGCCAGGGCAGGGTAAGCCCGAGCCGGCATCTGCCCACCCACCGCAGGTCCCCTCTGCATCCCGGGCTCCCCACCAGGCTCACCTCGGAGAGCCCGGTGCGCCTCAGCCGCTGCTTCGGGCGTCACGAGGGGTGCAGGGAGCGCCATTAGGAAACTCTTAATGCCATCGGATAGAGCTGCCGCGTCCCACTGATCCACGTCGCTCAGGGACCAATCTGGGGGGTGAGAGCGCACACGTCCCACCACCTGCAACCCCTACAGGCTGGCTCCTCCCAACCCCTGCCCATCAAGTCTCTCCCTCACCTGTCCGCGGGGCGGGCAGCTCCGGCCTGTAGTGCGATTCGCTGTCCAGCCCTGGGGACAAGGCGGGACAAGTGAGTTCTGATCTCAGTGAGTTCTGATCCCAAGTTCCCTTGTGGGATTGGGGTGGCTCTTTGACTCCCCCATGGTCTAGCTTTGGAGCTCAGAGTTAATGTGGAGGGAAAGGTCCCTTTTCCCCCGGGGGAATCACTCCTTCCCTACTCCACAAGGAGGTCTGCAGCCTCCAAGCTGAGCCTTGGCCTTTGCAGACGAAGACAAGCAGAACGCAGGGAATACAGACACGGGGAAGCTCACCCGTCCGCTCCATGGCCTCCACCAACTTCACCAGAAGAGGGGGTGCCGCATCCGGTGGGCAGAACTGCTCCGCCAGGTCGGGGAGGGTAGGGCCTGGTAGGACAGGGTGGCGTGTTGGTGGGGGTCTCTGGAAGGACCCCAGCCCCTCTCTTTGTTAGCAAGCATCTAACATCAAGACCACCAACCCAGGGAGAGCAGAGACCTTGACCGGAGGGGCTCAAACGTGTCCCCTCAAAAGCCTCTGTTGGGGGACTGGCAGGTGGCATGGTGGTTAAGGGCGCTGGACTCCCATATGGCCAACCGTGGTTCAAGTCCTGGACCTGGCAGCTTCTTTTCTCGCTTTCTCTCTCTCTCACTCTATCCTTTTCTGGTCAAATAAAAATATATAAATAAAGTTAAATAGGGATCAGCAGTTGGTATAATGGCTATGTCGCTGGACTCCCAGGTAGTCGACCATAGTTCAAGACCCGGACCCGGTGGCTTAAACTCACGCCAGTTGCGTGTGCGTGCATGCCCAAGATCCCGAGAGGAGAATGGAGCAGAAGGGATTGTGGCATGGCCATCCCCCCCGGGGGGGTGATCTGTCTCTTTCTGTCTCTCTCTGTCTTTCTGGCGAGCACATGTGCCCTATAGCAAAAACCTCTCCAAAAAACAAAAATAAAAGAAAAAAGAAAAAAGAAAAGAGACTATGGCATGATCATCCCTCATGGGAGGTGATTTTTATTCTCTCTTTGGCGAATACACACACTCTATGGCAAATTAAAAAGAAAAATATCCAAAAAACAAAGAATTTTTTTTTTTTTTTTTTTAAGAGGTTTTTGCTATAGGGCACGTGCACTTGCCAGAAAGACAGAGAGAGACAGAAAGCAAGAAATCACCGGATGGCCACACCTTCTCCTCCATTCTCCTCTCGGGATCTTGGGCACACACGCACACGCATCCGGCGTGAGTTTTAAACCACCGGGTCCGGGACGCGAACCGCGGTCGACTACATGGGAGTCCAGCGACATGGCCACTACGCCAACTGCTGGTCCCCCAGAAAGTTAGAATTTTGAAAATATTCAGGCTGGCCTCGTAAAAAATAAAATGGCAGAGGGTAGTGATGTGTAGTGGTTAGGGCGCTCGACCTCCTGCATGGCTGTCAGCTTGAAAGTGACGCTGGGTGTGTGTGTGTGTGTGTGTGTGTGTGTGTGTGTGCGCATGCGTGGGCACTCCAAACCCCAGGAGAATGCAGAAGGAATGGTGGCATGGCCACCCTCCCCCAGGGAGTGATCTCTGTTTCATTCTCTCCAGCAAGGGCATGCATCCTCTGGCAAAACCCTAAAAGAATGAAATGGTGACGCCAGCAAATGACATAGTGGTTACGTCATTGGACTTCCACGTGGCCAAACATGGTTTGAGTCCCAGACGTGGTGGCTTGAAATTCATGCCAGGTGCATATGTGTGTGTGCCCAAAATCCTGGGAAGTAAATAGAGGAGAAAGGACTGTAGGGTGGCCATCCCCCCTGGGGGATTATTTCTCACTTTCACTCTCACTGTCTCTGGGTCTCTCTTTCTGGCAAGCACACACACTCTAAGACAAAAAAACTTTTCTTTTTTCTTTTCTTTTTTGGGGGGAGAGCTTTTTGCTATAGGGCATGTGTGCTCATCCACCAGAAAGACAGAGCGAGAGAGAGAGAGACAGAAAGCGAGAAATCACCCCCTGGCGGGGGGATGGCCACACCGCAATCCCCTCTCCTCCATTCTCCTCTCGGGATCTTGGGCACGCATGCCCACGTGCCCAGTGGGAGTTCAAGCCACCGGGTCCAGGACTCGAACCGCGGTCGACTACAGGAGAGTCCAGAGATGTAGCCATTATGCCGCCTACTGGTCCCATCCTTTTCTTTTTTTGTTTAAAGAATTATTTTATTTAAGTTTGTTTATTTATTTATTTAAATTTGTCTAGAGAGAGAGAGAGAAAGCAAGCTGCCAGGTCAAACCAGTTGGCCATGTGGGAACTCACCACCCTTAACCAACATTCCTCGAACCGCGGTCGACTACAGGAGAGTCCAGAGATGTAGCCATTATGCCGCCTACTGGTCCCATCCTTTTCTTTTTTTGTTTAAAGAATTATTTTATTTAAGTTTGTTTATTTATTTATTTAAATTTGACTAGAGAGAGAGAGAGAAAGCAAGCTGCCAGGTCAAACCAGTTGGCCATGTGGGAACTCACCACCCTTAACCAACATTCCACTTGCTGGCCCCAAGGCAAAAACCTCTTTTAAAAAAAAAAAAAAACTGAATGAAATGGTGTGTTTAGGATAGCAAACGGAGGACATGTCTAAGAGATCCTTAACTTAAACGATTACCATAGATAGACGGCCAGGAACTATTCTAGACTATGTGGGAAAAGCCCTGAAGGCATTTCAGAGAGCTTCAAGGCTGCCCCCTGCCAAGACAGCCCCAGAGCAGAACCTCCAGGGCTCCGTTTCCAGAAGGGCACCCTCAGGACCTCGAACCTAGGCTGGCTCTCTTATCTCTGTGTGGCATTCCTTAGCTGCCCAAGCTCAGGGCTCAGAGCTGAGCCCTGAAGGGTGGAAAAGCAAGGCTTTGGCAGCATCCAGGTGCTGATCATTGTATAACTGCACAGAGACTGAGGGCTGCCAAGCCATGGTGGCCTCGTCTTAGATCTCCAAGGAAGTCACAGACAGCTTGCGGGGGCCCAGGCAGGACTGAGCTACTGCAAAGTCCTTACCAGGACACTGTCCAGTAGAGCCACAAAAGTGGGTCTGTTTCGGAGATTACAGAACTCTAGACCTACCGGCATGCGACTCCAGCTTGGGAGAACTGGCTGTGAGGGCCGCTTCAAGGGATGAGCCCAGCAAAGCCTGAGGGCAGGGCTGCCTGAGGTCTCGGGTGCTGCAACCCCTCTCCCCAACTGTATCCAGGAGGTTGCCCATGCATGCAGTGAACAATTATTTGGGTACTCTTTTTTTTTTTTTTTTTTTGGAGAGGTTTTTGCTATAGGGCGCGTGCGCTCGCCAGACAGACAGAGAGAGACATAGAGACAGAAAGCGAAAAATCACCCCCTAGGGGGGAGTCAAGTGGACTCCCACGTAGTCGACCGTGGTTCGTGTCCCGGACCCGGTGGCTTAAAACTCACGCCGGGCGCGTGTGTGTGCGTGCCCAAGATCCCGAGAGGAGAATGGAGGAGGAGGGATTGCGGCGTGGCCATCCCCCCTGGGGGGTGATTTCTCGCTTTCTGTCTCTCTCTCTCTCTCTGTCTTTCTGGCAAATGCACGCGCCCTGTAGCAAAAACCTCTAAAACAATTTTAAAAAAAGAAAGATTTTGGCCATTGGGCATATGTGCTTGCCCAAGAGGGAAAGTGAGAAATCACCAGCCAGGAGATGGCCATGTCACAATCCCTTCTCCATTCGTCTCTTGGGATTTTGGGCGCACGTGCATACTTACTCGGTGTGATTTTTCAAGCCACCAGTCTGGGACTTAAACCAAAGTTGGTAATGTGAGAGTCTAGTGCCTTAACCACCATTGCTACATCATGCTGGCCCCTAAATTTAAAAATCGTTTTATTTATTTATTTATTTTTTAAGAGAGAGGTTTTTGTTAGAGGGTGCATGTGCTCGCCGGAGAGACAGAGAGATAGAAAGCAAGAAATCACCCCCCAGGGGGGATGGCCATGCCACAATCCCCTCTCCTACACTCTCCTCTCAGAATTTTATTTTTAAATTACTTATGTGATTTTATTTATTCATTCATTTTCTTTTTTAATTTGGCCAGAAGGACACAGAGAGAGAGGTGAACGCGAGAAAAAAAGCCACTAGGTCCAAGATTCGAACCATGGTCAGCCATGTGGGAGTTCAGCGCCTTTATCCACCACACCACTTGACAGCCTCCAGAATTTCTTTTTTTGGAGAGGTTTTTGCTATAGGGCACGTGCGCTCACCAGACACACAGAGAGAGACAGAGAGACAGAAAGCGAGAAATCACCCCCCAGGGGGGATGGCCATGCCACAATCCCTTCTCCTCCATTCTCCTCTCGGGATCTTGGGCACGCATGCACACATGCCCGGAGTGAGTTTAAGCCACCGGGACCGGGACGCGAACCGCGGTCGACTACGTGGGAGTCCAGCGACATAGCCATTACGCTAACTGCTGGTCCCCAGAATTTTGGGCATGCATGTCCACAAGCCTGGCGTGAGTTTTAAGCTGCCGAGTCCGGGACATGAACCGAGGTCGCTTATGTGGGAGTCCAGCGATGCAACCATTGTGCCATATGCTGGTCCCCTAAATTTAAACCTTTTTTTTTTTTTTAAAGAATTAACTTTATTTATGTATTCATTCATTTATTTAAAAGTGACCAGAAAGGGACAGATTGAGTGAGAGAGAGAGAGAGAGAGAGCAGGCCAAAGAGAGGGAGGGAAAGGGAGAAAGCAGGCCGCCAGGTCTGGGACTTGAACCGTGGTCAGCCATGTGGGAGTCCAGCGCCCTCCACCACCACGCCACCTGCCAGCCAGTGGTATGGTGGTTGGAGTAGCTGAATCTCCTATGTCCAGCTATGCAGTTTAAGTCCTGGACACACGGGGTGTGTGTGCGTGTGTGCCCAAAATCCCAAGAGGAGAAGAGATTGTGGTGTGATTTCTCACTGTCCCTCCTCCCATCCCTCTAAGTGCACGTGCGTGTCCTAGAGCAAATTAAACAACATGGGGCCGGGAGGTGGCACAGAAGGTAAGGCACTGGACTCTCATGTGGTCGACCACAGTTCGAGTCCTGGACCCCGGCAGCTTGAATTTCACGCTGGGCACATGGACACACATGCCCAAGATCCCAAAAGAGAATGGAGGAGAAGGGATTGCAGCCTAGTCGTCCCCTCTGGGGGTGATTTCTTGCTTTCTGTCTCTCTGGCAAGCACAGACACCCTATAGCAAAAAAATCTCTAAAACAACAACAAAAAAGAAACTTCAAGAAGAGAAGTCTGCGTGAAGACAAAAAGGAAGACTGAAGGGACTAGCAGCAGCTGGCATAACGGCTATGTCGCTGGACTCCCATGTAGTCGACCTTGGTTCCAATCCCAGACCTGGTGGCTTAAACTCAGG